ATGCACTGAAAATACTAAGTACATTCCACGATATGAAGGAGGTTAAAAAGCTCACTTAGTGGATGCATTTGAATTTGATGGTCAAGCACTTTTCACGGGCAAAATTATTCTCAGTATGTAGGCATAGAAATTGGTATTTATCAGAACTGCTGAAGTTCTGCCAAAAGTAGCCAAAATAATCTTCGATTAACATGACGAGGTTGCATAACAGTGTGGTCTACTGTTATGCAACAACCAGCCTCTCGTACCGACCATGCGGAAATTTCCTTCAAACGGACTAAGGCATCTTTCAAAACATGCTAAATAACCCCTGCATATATCTATCTACAGTACCAGCCTAGTTAGGAAGGGATGGTTTCTACCAGTCTCTGGTTGTGGCTAAATCTCATTGTGAAATATTGACAAAGTCACTCTACAATTTAAGGATGCAGTCAATGAGAATCCAACAAGGAATCACAAAAATTATCATGCTAGATTTTTTATTCTTGCTTGGTATGGAAGAAACGGCGGTTCAAGAAACGTAAGAGTTTTTCACTTTGAGGGAGGAGTACTCCACCCAGGTCTGGAGTCTAGCGCACCACTAATGATACAGACTTCAAATTTTGCCAATTCTGTAATGGCTATGATCTGATACACTCATCAAGCAGTATCTACAGCAGACCTTTATCTCAAGCAGGGGAAGACAATCAGACGTCTATGCAGTAGGCTTGATGTATGGAAGTTATTTCATGGGGCTTGCTAGTGTGCAGTTTTGTAAGATTTTGGACAAGGGGACATGCAGTTCCGCCTTTTATTCATTGTTCAGAATGGTTTTTGTTTTAACATGGGTCAGAATGGCCGCAGAATGAAGATGTAGCTTCCCTTTAATGGCTTGTTCATCTGTTACGAAGCTTCTAGAAAGTACACTACAAGGCATTATTTTCCCCTAGGACATTCTTGTTTCAACGAATCTAGTGTACGATTCCAGCGCTTTTGATACTGTGGTTTTCCACAGGCACATGGAAGATTTTCCGCTGGATAAAAAAAGCTCCACGTCACAGTTTGTTTCCATTATTGTACCATCTGCTGTGACTACGCAGTAGGCATTTACTGTATTGGCTTCAACTGGCCTATTGATCTTTTCCGTTTAGTTGACTCGCTGATTGTTTTTCTTTTGCTTATGAAACACCATATTTTCTACTGGAAAACGTAGATTGAAATCAATCGATCACATTGTCGTATATATATATATGTATTCGTAAGTTAATGGCCGCCAACACTGCTACGAATTGTAATATATATGTATTCGAAAGTTAATGGCCGCCAACACTGCTACGAAATTGTAATATACGGCAGTTTCCTTCGCACATCGTCAAACCATTTCGTTGGCTCCCCTTTTTTCGAATTTAAAATTTGGAATGCTTATTTGAGTCAAAAATTGAGAATCACACGCTGGTACAGGTACCTTGGGGCAGCCATTTTTCCTGTGTGTTCAGCATTTCCAAGTAAATGCATGTGCTCTTTCTTAGTCAGAATAATGTAACACTTCAGTTTCACCCAAAAGTAATTCCAATTCATGTCATTGTGGTTGTTCCACCATCTCCTCTTAATACCGTTTGTAGCTATAAACAAATGAATTAATCGGCCCGTTCTAAACCATAGAATAGGTATCTTCTAACAACTCTCATACTGAGGAATTCCGTGTAAGAATAACGCAAATATTTTTTCTGACGGTCACTTCCTAATCGAGCCAATTGTTAGTAGACTCACCTTATTCAACATCGTGAGACACCACATGGTATTTCGCGATCGACAGGGCAGGATTACGACTTTGGCAGTGTGATTCACAACTCACGCTTTCTCCCTTCTCTACAGTTGTTGGACTGGCCAAATAAATAGTGTGGTGCAAATGCCTATGAGACACCAAGTCGACTCAATTAACTTTGTAAAACAGCTTCACTCGGCTGACGACTGATGTCCAGAAGTACTGCACCTAAACTTGGTTAGTGATAATGTTTGGCTTATTCGTTTCTTTTTTCAAAATATGCTCACACCCTACCAACTACTGGTTTCGCAGCAAGTAGCCCATGGTTTAACTGAATAAATGAAATGGACTCAAGGTGTCAAAGGTTGTGGAAATGCAGTCAAAAATGACAGAGAAATTGAAAAGACACCGACGGTGAGATCTACGCTTTTGTACAGTATTCCGTTTTCACTAACAGCATGATTTTTCGTTGGAATCATTTCGATGAGTTACTCATAGCAATGCAGTGATCGAAAAATTCTACGGACGAGCCGCGGCCATCTTTTTGGTTAGGACTAATCAGATTTAAGACCTGGATTATGCAGTCAAATAAAACATGCCGCCAAGTTTGACTATTGATTATAAGGCATTTTCAACGGCTCAAGATATCCAGTCTACTCCGAGGTTCACAGATTTCATGAACATCTTAGGATTAGGGAAATCACAATCCTCGCGAAGTTTGTGGCAGACCAAAGTATGTATGTTTAGGCATAATGGGCTGGTGTCGAATCGCCACTAGCTAAGGAATGGCATGTCGGAGATTCTGGCGACGTGAGTAGGCTTAAAAACATTCAGATAACTAAACAGATCGATTGGCTTTGAGCAGCGCTTCACAAATACCATCACTTCCTGCCAACACATCACTGATGTTCAGTCATTCCTTAAAGGTTCGCATTCCGAGAGAAAACATTCCTACAAACGCGAGAAATACTTGTGAAAGGCAGACGAAAAATCAGGACCACATGGATCATTACGTTAAAGCTTTCTCATTGCGCTTCACGGAGCTTCTAAACAATAATCCTAAAAGGACCACTACTCCCATTTTGAAAGCGTCGTAGGTTTTGAAAATATTTGTAGACGCTTTCTGGATCGATCCGAAGATGGCCGCATGTGGAATTTCGACACCTTGCCACAGTGGGCTTAATGCGGTTATCTAACCTGGTTTACGATGTCTTGGGAAGGTGGAACAAACTAACGTTTTGAAGTACCCAAGTGCCTCAAGACAATCTTTCGACATTCAGGTGCAGCTTTTGGATTGAAGGCATAGCTTTTTGCAAAAAGACTGAGTTTGAAGACCAACCATAGGTTCTCCAGACCTGTGTCCTCAATGTTTTAACTACCTTGTTCCAAAAGTCGTTGTCTCAACTGAAAGACATCGTAACCAACGAAGATGGATAAATAGTCAACATCCACATGGGAAGGCAGACAGTGCAGATGCCTTACCTGATTGCCCGAAAGGGTTGCACTGCCATGGAGCTTCGGTCGTAAAATAGTGGTGCTAATTTCGGCTCAAACAGTCGCCGGTCAAATGTGCAAGTCAACCTAGTAGCAATAAGTTTATGTGGAACATTTAGCAATCAGCTCCAGTGTCAAATAACATCAAGAATTAATTATTCGAGGAGGAAGAATCGTTCATATTGGAACCATTACAAAAAGCGTGTCAACAGACTTGTGTTTGTACTGCACAAGGACAGCTGACTTTGCACATCTCAAACGTGTCTGAAGCGTGAAGTGCCTGCCTGCCGCACGAAACAGTCATATCAGTAATCTCTCCAAAGCATGCAACGATTACTTTTGCGGCTGGCAATGTCACAAAGCGGTCCAAACGTTCCGGTCAGCAGACGCGAAATTTGCATCGAAAAGAGGGCAATTCAATCTCCAACTCTGCAATATTCCGTAGTGAACACTATGTGATATTTGGTATACTACGTCTTTGCGACTCTGTATCCAGAACATCGTGTGGTAGCTTAATGAAACCTCATTTTATAATTGGTGAATACGATATCCTTTACGAGGACAGATGAAAAAGTGGATGCGAGAGCAATACATTTGAGAGCGCCTATCCATTTGTCCCGTACTTCATACTCTCTGAAGCCCCTTCTTATTATATTGATTTGGAGCGATAAAGCGGAAATCACAATCCGCTCTCTGGAAGTTGGCATAAAATCACGGCGGTTAAGTAAATCTGTTAGTAGTCTGGGTATATGTTTGAATATTGTTGTGCTAGTATAAGAATCATATGAACTAGAATACAGGTTCCAAACGCCTACTCCAGATTCGTTGAGTCAATCAGGCAAGCAGGAGGTTAACACACACCGGAGAGTATGAGGTAGCCCCAACGTGAAAGTCCATTTTATTTTATTTTCAGATGTACGAGGGCTGGAGTCTACACAAGAACAATACCTTAACTTTCAAATGAACCACGATATGAGGAAGACTGTTCAGACTAAATTACTGTAAAACACATCCCACAAACTTCCTAAGAAATCGTATTTATATATGATAGGGTGAAAGTTGGTGAACGCAGGTGACTTCTGATGCACCAGTGGAATTCTCTCGAGGGGTCCACAAGAAGCAAAGCATACTGCAAATGAACTATCTCTCGACACTACTATACTCACACTTCTTGTGATATACCCATATCTGGTACATACGTCAGACTCAAAAAGGGAGGAGTTCTGATAAACTTGTATTATCCTTGGATATCCCATGGTGCTGGGCACAAATGATGCCTAACAAAATAAATTCAAGCTCACACGAGATTCTGATTGCTCTACTGACGTCAAGGGCAGTAGACACCAAATTATTTTCGGGATAAGCTAAGTGCCCAATATATACAGGTATTTTTCGCAGGCTGCTCTGATTTGGTATGCGCAGCTATTTCATGACAATAATAATTCATGCCGCTTGATTACGTGCTATCTAGAACGAGGCGTACGCTTACAAAATTGATTTACAGGACGAGTGCCGGCTTCACAGAAGGGGTTTGCATTTACTTGCAGGATCATATTTACGTAGATCGTCACGTGCCTGACTGAAGTGAGCACGTATCGCCGAAGGTTTTGTACGCTAGTTCTGGGTCTGGTGCTTCAAACTGAGGCATTTGAGTGACGCTTGGGTGATTGCGTGTGGTATGGTCACGACTACGTGGAATATGAGGTGGGTTTATGGAAAGGCAACTATTTAATACTTGCCCTAAGCATAGTTAAATCACAGTCTTGTCTGAAACCCAAATCACCATGTCACAACAACTGGTACAAAGAATCCAGCTTCATCCATTTGAAAAACTCATCAAATTGTTTTTCCTGCTGGACAAGAATAATGACGGTTTTGTTTCGCGTTCGGAATTGATTGAGTATTACGATAAAAATGGCCTGGAACAAGGTAACGTTGAAGTAAGTGCTTTATTCACTTTACAATATGATTACCTGTTTGGCTAATTTCGGCCTCTATTTGTGCTTAAATCGCGAAACATCAGCTGTGAACTTCCATTCTCCCCGAACAAAGTGATGTTCGTATCGGTGCGAAAAGTCGCCAAGTTCTCAGTCGGGAGTCAAATAAGTGATACCTAAGAACAAGCTCTCCACCTCACTGGTTTTAAATTAGAGTCTGAATTACAATTCTGCCAAATTAACTACGTTTCAGTCAAACTAGGGATTTTTCCTGTGTCAACAGCTGAAGCGACTGAACTTATACTTGTAATCAACAGATGATTCAGTTGCTTCGAAAAAGCTACTTTTTTTAAAAAAAATGCATAATATAATGCATAATACAGTGTCTGCTCGTAGCCCAATATCTTCATAATTTGAATAGTCTAATTGAAAAGTAGTCTGCCTGGGCATAACCTCGCACTTCTGCGACGAACTCTACCACAGTGCGGAAATACATATTTCGAAGAAATCACGGTTTCATACGGAGAATTAGACAATATTTGGTTCACTGGCAACCGGTCATATCCAAAATTAATCTTAGAGTTCACAAGTATATTGCCTTCAGCTGGTGGCGTAAAAACAATGCGAAAACCCGACAAATTTTCAAAACCAACCCCTGATACAAGTCCGTTGGTAAACACGTGTTATGTTTGACCTGGAACTCCTTTCAATGAATGTGTAAATAAAATGCCGACTGTATTTCTATTACTGATTTATTAATGCCATTAAAGTCGTTTTGTCTTGAAATTTTTCACAATGTTTTGCCACTACACTCAGTGGAATCTCAAGCGATTAGAAATTAAAATCACAATTTGGCTATTTTCTTTAGAAGACAGCTAGCTCAGGAGGTTGTGGGAGACAAAAGGTGCCGTATCATCTTGCGCGAGTTCCTCACACTCCAATCAGCTGAAGCCGAGACGTACCAGTAATAGGTGCCTATGGTTTCTCGTAAAAAGTGTCCTCAAAGAAAACGTGGTTTGAGCAATTGACAGCCTTCTAGAGGGAGTAGCTAGAAGAGGGCATTAGACGGTCACCTATCTTGAAAGGTAATACATGCGTATACCTTCTCCAGTAATCAAAACTATATCTTCAAGTTCGTTTGGCAACATTTTTGATGGTAAAGCGTCACTTTGTGTTTTGTTACTCATTTTTTCATGTGATAACATGCATTTGTGTTCTCTTTGAATCAACAGGATGATTTTTCGCTGTATTCTCCTCAAGATAGTGGGTGTCTTCCCCACATGTGCAGAAATAATCTGTCAAGCTATGCATTAAACCTTATTCCATTACAATATATAGAAAGCTTTCGAGAAGTGCTAAGGAGAAGTCGCAGTTCACTAACTGATTAACAGCGCAGACGTGTGCATTTCGTAGGCTTCAACGACATTTCAGACTGGCCCAACCCTAGCAAAATTTATTTGTCGGTGAGTATGTGAGGTTCGTAATATTTCCATGTCTGGTGCACGCCATGGATGATCATCATCAATGGCGACATTATGTTGTCGATGTCAAGGGCCAGTAGATGTTCAATCAGGATGAGGCTTTTCGAGTGACATTTTTACAATTTAGGAACCGGAATTTCAAAACTTTCCAGATATCCGTGCGGTAAGAGATAAAACTGTGTTTCGTTCGAGCATCCATAATATTCCAGAGTTCTCCAAAACGAATAAATATTTTAAGAAAGCTCATGTGGCAACTGTAGTTTTCTACCACATATTGACTGTAAATCTGGCTATTCACTGTGTGCGGGTGACACATTCCCAAATGCAAAATGGCCAGAAGTAGGCCTTAACGTGTTGCTTCCAGAGGGTCATATAACAGGCCGTGATAAAGCTACACTCAGAAGAATGTTTCCGTGACAGCCTTCACGATACATGAGATAGAATCAAGCAAGCACACTGAAGTCCATGCCCTAGAAAATGCAGCTCATCGGCGCAGCTATTTTGTCTATTTGGTGAAAGGCATCTTACCTGTGGTGATAAACCCTGTATTTCAAAACTGAGCATCTAGAAGATAGCTGCACTCCTGATAGTGCTACAACGTATTCTCTTGTGTCCTTTCAGGAGTTCATGAGTCGATTTGATACAAATAACGACAACAAAATCTCCATGGACGAATATTGTCGGGCTTTTGGGTTTTTCCCACATGAGGCGTAAGTGTTTGTCCGCCAGTGAGTATTAGGTATCCTAGCTAAGCATTAATAGGTATTGTATCAATGTTGACAAGTGTAAAATAAATTTTCAAAAACCGGTCAACTGGGCAGCACTCTTCTGCTTATCCAGTTTCTGTTTTATCCTATATAATATGTATATATATACAGTTTTGAAACGCAAAATGCAAGCAGATTGCAGTAAACATACCTTGCATTTCAAGAAGTACCACGGTACTTGATGACAGCACATTGTTGGAAATTTTAACCTATGCAAGTAGAGTTAATGCACTTTAATACTGTTACAATTTAGGATTCACAATCTCAGTGTCCAAAAAATATTGCCTCCAGCTAGCCCATAACATTATCAACATTACACGGTTTGTATGCTTATTCAAAGCTTTAAGTTAACCTTCACCATTTTGACTCATTCCGTGAAACTACCCGGTTCTCTGCTGACTACCCCGGAAAACTCTAATTTGGGCATTTTTGATTCCTGCTAGGCTAATGAATAGTCCAAAAGGCTAAATGGTATTCCCCCACCTTTCGGCCGGAGCTGATCTCAATTAAAGCTGTTTAATGAACAAATCGTTAAGATGATGGTTACTGCTTTGAGAGAAACCGTTTTTCTCACTAGCTGCGGATATAGGCTGTACCTGTTTAACACGTTCAACATTGTGAAGAAGGAATACTGCCGGAATTTTATTTTCCCAGTTGCAGTTTGATTACAGCTCTTTAGCTAGCGATCCCGCGATTAACATATTTAACAGTCTGTTCGACAGTTTTCAGTTTTATGCATGGTAACGGAGTATATGTTACATTCCCAAGTGGTCATCATAGAGAAATTTCAATGAATTCAATTTCAATTGTATACCCCTCAGCTACTATACTTTGACCAGCCGTAATGTTTTAGATAAAAAACTCCTTGCACCTGAAGCATAACTATACCCCTATTTGGGTGTTGATGCACAGGTCTTGCAGAGTCTTGTCAGAAACTTCTCAAGATAATATATTGGCTAAGGGGTGCCTCGTAATATTACAAACTACTGTGATCAGGTGAAAGTCAATCAGCGGATTTCACCACCTTGACTTGCAACTTGTCTTGAAAATTCACGGTATATACCAAATGGATTACGGTATAATAAGTTAAAGAACGATTTGATCGTCCGTTTGATTCGTGACGTATCTTTGGAAAATCCAGCTCATCAGCATATATGTATATATATATATATATATATATATATATATCGATGATTTTGCCGATATGTAGATAAAAGAGGAACGCTTCGTTTGTTTCAATCTGTCACTTCGGTTACCCACATTATTGCCATAGTAATTGGTTCCTCAGATGTTCCCTGTTAAATACATCCAGAAGTTCTGAATTCTGTATTCTATCGTGGCTTAAAATCACAAAAACAAGGCTACGCGCAAACTACCGTCTGTACAAAATGGTGGAAATTATTTTGTTGACATAATTTCATTTACTAAACACTTGTTTACACCAGATCCAACCAGATGAAACGAATGACAACTCATGTTCTTGTTGTTGAGATCGTGAACTAAATATGTCCCACAGCAAACCTCCTACCACTGCGGTATTAATTCATTAGGTTGTTCCAAAACTCATACACGTGTCCTTCCTCATTTTTCGAAATCGATCAAGGTAGTTCCCATGTTTTGTACGAGAAAAAAGTTTTGGCAAAAATGTTTCATTCGATTTGACTTTGAATCAACCTGTTTCAAACATTTTCCCTAGCCAAATGGAGAAGAAAGACCTTAAAGTTCAACAGGCCAGGGAAGCCAGTGGCAGCATACCCAGTTTCGAAGACGTCGAGATCCTTAGCTCATCCATGACTTGGGAAAAACAGGAGGACATTGTAAACAAATACAAGGAACTGGTTGGTGGTGGGGATGCTTCGAACGAGAGAATGAATGAAGCTGTTCAATATTTGCAGACCTATCTAAACCGAACGTACGGGCGTACATGGCAGTGCATCATTCTCAATGGGTCCTACTGGATTCGTTACAACCACGACCCATTCTATTCTCTACAGTTTAAACACGGAGGAAAAAATACCGTTCTTGTTTGGCGCATTAACCGCAGATGAAAAACAGCGTTAATATTTAAATTTGGACATTTGAAATAGGGTTTCTGTACCGAAATTTGTCACGAATTCGTATTGTACACGAGATGTGAATAAAACTGTTCCTACCTAAGTAAACTGATCCATTTCTTTGACTTTATGGGAGATCAAATTTCTCCTTAGCTGACGTTAACCAATTATTGCCGTTCCTGTTTATCCAAGACCCAGATCACTTTAGCCTAATTTACCTTGTTTAGGAATCCGTATAAGCTGCGTTACTAGATTCTTCATTCTTTGGGCTCCGTTTCCATTTATATGCTAGCATAATCCATCAAATACCTCCTGTTTATACCAAACAGCAACTCAATCGCACAAAAAGCAGAGAGTATTTTTCGAAAATTGTTCATGCAGCTCGTACCCACTTAAATTACCAATGCAGTGTGATCAGCAACTATTAAATAATTCCTTGTGGCAATAACCGTTATCTCCCTCCGTCAAACGAAAAGCCTGTGTGATTGATACACTATTGCAGAAGAATGTCCTGGGGAACGGAAACTACATTCCATCGGATGCCAGAAATCTCTGCCTCCGTAAAAAACTGAAATCCTCATTTATTACAACCAGATCGCTTGTGTGGAGCGCCAATGTGCTAAGCAAGTGAAGCAGTTTTTAAATTTTGGGAATAGTTGACCGTCTTAATGACATGCATACTTCGTGTGACCGATTTTAAAACATAAGACGCGGCATAATATGAGTGGTTTCAAAATACAGATAATGCGGTTGCGTTTACTGTTAGTTGATCAGGTGGACATTGATCGGTTCCCCTAGCTTGTCGGTTGGTATTCAAACGTTTCGTTAACACTCGAGCAGACACCATCAGCGCGGGGTTGGATGGACCTCATTCAGGCATGTAGTGGTGATGTCTCATCGGTTGGTGACGAAACGTTTGAGAGCTAAGTACGACAGACCCATGAATGACCGCTTGATCAACCTCTTATTAGTCTAAGTCAGATGTCAGATGTCACATGCCAAATAACAGTGTCTCTTAACCATAAGTGTTTGACCATGGGACTACTGTTGTAGAATCTTCTGTTAAGGTTCTGTTATTATCCTGGTATCCTGACTCGACAGCTTCTAATAGTTATTCGCTCCATCTCCAGAGCATTCAAAATAATAATAATAATGCTCATCTGACTGTAGTACTAATGCATGATATTGCCAGGCTTCTCCAGCCTAAACAGGAGCAGTTGAGCCGCCAGTGTTAGATTTGAACCACGGAGCTTATGGTCAGTGAATCGCACCTTGCCCACGAAGCTATTTGAAAATCCTAAACTAATTCTAGCTCAACATTAATTAAGTTATATCGCTGGGTTAACAAAGGTTCTGCTGCTTAGAAAATACCCTATTCTACGCTAGTTTGACAGAGCTTATACACCAAAGAAAGAAGGGCATACAGTCGCTCCGATAGATTTGCAGCTGCACCGTTAAGGTTATCTCGTTTCTCTGTATGCGGTTTTAGTCATCCGTAATATCGTATTGTCCTATCTAATTCTGGGAGTACTGGTCACTCTGTAGCTAGTTCTAAAGCCTTCATTGCCAGTTAGAAGTATGTTGTTTATCAATATTTATGAAGTGCTCACCAGACACTACCTTTTCTGTCAGGATTGAGAAGTTAAAACTTGCCAAAGCACCCTCTATACGAGCAGCATTCAACCCAGTGTGCTTGAAGATGCCTTGAGTCGCTCTGAACATCAAAACCCTCCGGAAGGCGTCATGTTAAGTAAGTACACTTGGTTCCCAGCCAAGGAGCCAATTACAAGTAGTGGGAACGTGACTCAACTGGACATGCCAGTCCAAGTGGACTTGGCAAGGAATGTACTGAATTTTCTTGGGTTTTCTGATCGAATTTCAAAAATAATTTTAAGTAGCATTCGTTCAACTATGTAACACTTTAGGGCAATTAAGTATTCGCGCCTAAGTATTCGGTAAACAAATATGTTAACGATGTATCCCATTTTTAGCTGAACCGCCACTTTTGGTTGCACAGTACATATACTCGGTGAGCTAAGATCCATTTTCGAATAGGTCTGGCGTACAAACAAGGCAACTTGACCCAGTTCCACACACAGTTTGCACTGGGCTGCAAGTGTATTCAACTAAATTCTTTGTGGGCACTGTAGGTCCGTGACCACGTGGTGATCAGTTGAGGGAACTTCTAAGTCATCAGCTTACCTACCTAGCGACACGTAAGTTTTGAATAATGAAAGCTAAGTATTCGACGCCGAAATTGCGTGCAAAGAGTGGTTCAGTGGCCCACGCCATTCTGTGACTCATTGTTGGTACATTCACATGTGGCGGGCTATTGCCATTGTGCTTCCAAATGTGCACCAAAAACATTAGAAGTGGTTTCACTGTTAGTCTATAAAAGCAGGCTCGACAAATCGATTGTGTCTTGTCACTTTGAGGCAGTATTTGAAATTGTTGTTTCTTTGCATCCTACCAGCTACATTCACTTGAAATGGTTCCTTGATCAAGTGTGCTGAGACTGAAATCTTCATGCTAATTGTCATCAGGATCCAGATGAGAATGGAAGCACTTAACAACTAGTACCGTTGGGGCGCAAATAATAGTGAGGCAGACTAATACTTCAGTACGGTTCCTCATCAAAGTAATGCTTTAAGCAGAACCAATCCATAGGATTCATGTAAACTCTCAGACGGAAGTACTATGACAAAAATAAAAATCTTCCAGGATAACTGCAGGTGAATTTCTCTGATATTTGCCAAACATTGATGGTGATACAATTTGTGCGCTATATGACAGTTTTCCTCTCTTCGAGTACACTATAGCGCATTCATAACTGTATACGGTATCAGATATTGTGAATGTTCCTTGTCATTTTGCGCTGATTATCACGGTTCTCCTATAGGCTGATAAGTGAAATCGATCAAGAACGCCCGGCTAGAGGCTTGGGGCAATATAGTTTAGAAAGGATGTCAACCATACACCTGATATATGTGCACCATTGGATTTACTCCTATCGATTGTTTCAGGAAGTTCCGGAGGGCGAGTCATGGCTTCGTGGAGCAGCAAAAAAACACATGGAAGATGGAGCTTTTTGGAGCTAAGTTCTAGTACGCCATCGCCAAAAAACCTGGTACTACAGTTCCGGTTCCTACAGGTCCCCCGAGAATAGGAACTGGAATTGTGGGTGCGGTCAAAAAGTTTCCATACGCAGTCAGCGTTCACCACAATGCCTCCAGAATAATTGTTGAAGGAAAACTAAAGTATACGGTGAAATATAGACCCTTGTTTTTATACCCATTTCTTTTGTTCAAAGGCCACTTGGTTTGCCATGTTATCAATTGTAAATGAGATAAATCTATGAGAAGTAAATCCCTGTCCGTGAAGACCGTTTTTGGAAAACGAGGGTAACATGCAGTATGAGAACTCATGGGTATTTCAGCCGTAAACCATATGTAGTTGTTGGCCATTTTCAATAAATCTTTGATCGGTCGACAGTAGTTATCATAATGTTTGAAATAAACTGGTTAAATTAGCTCTTTCTGAGTTATTTTTTACCACGTCCGTCACTAAATTCAATAAAGCTTCGACACTTGCGTCGCAGAACACGCTACTCACAGCTAATCAGAGCATGTCAGAAGGTGCTTATGGTTGGTTGCAACTGGAGCATTGCAGCCTTGTGAGAAAATATAGATCAGGGAAATTGTTATCACAGGAATCTTCTATTGTAGCAAAGTGCCTTTAGATGGAGCATCCACAAGTCTCTCGAGAGGAAATGTACGGCATCTTCACAAAATCACATTCAGGAGGATATGAAACTATTGTTTTATTGAGATACACTTTATTTTAAGTGGCTCCATTGGTCGTCTAATTTACTACCGTTATCATATTAACGCCTCAGATGGTTGGTGCCAAACGCGGTAGCAACTATATTCACTCAATATCCAACTGGCGATTGGTTCCAGCCAGTGTGGTTGGTTTTAGGGCCGTAAACACAAGGAATTACCGTGTGAACAGATGTGCATTTCCGAACAGCGCGAAAGCATGTGGATAACGAACGAACCCACAGTTGCTCGATACGTGATAATACGAATGAGAGGACAGTTTTCTAGCGCTGCAAAGCATTCATTTGAAAGCCCCAGTGACAGCGATGGTGTAGCAAACACCTCGAAACGTGCAAACTACTTCATACGCTTTAAGTAGTTGAGAATGTTTCATAGTTCTAGGCAGCTGTTTGTTGATGAAACAAGGTTGAACCGTTTGAAAAGTGTGATTTGACGATGACTTTATGTATCAGTGACCTGTATATCTGATCCCTTCTGTAACATTTCAGAATGATACACGCAGAATGGTTTATTTTTTAAACTATATATATTGTTACATCTCTGCGGTCCTTCAAGCAAAACACCCTGAACTTAGCGGGATGAGTGCGCGCAACTGGAAACCGTGTTCAAAAAAATCTTTGGACAGCGGACGGAGTTCAGTTGAAATACATTTGTGTAACGAAGGATAAATCTATACCGTTTAGGTTTCCTGTCACCTTGTGAAAACTCATCAATAGTAAATAAACCTAAAATCCGGTAGACAAGGTCACATGCGCCAACTAGTATGGGGATTCTGTGCGCCATACTGATCAGTTATGTGTGGACATGCCGATGGTGATTCGAACGAGGGGTCAAACTCACATTTCCTTGTATTCTACTGGTGATCCACTCTGTTTAAACGGTAGCTAATTATTGTCACCCCTTTCGGCTGACATATGCGGGTTGAGTACCTTCTGCATGCCCTGATAGGCTGCTAAGGTTCACTGGGTTTGAAAAAAAGAAACCTGCGACTCTCTGTCAGAGCATGTATTGCAATCATCGAGTCCGTCCTAGGTTTTTTGGAACTCGGTAGAATTTTTGGAGGCAGACTGTTCTAACGTTTTTCATCAATTCATTCCTGTTTGTTGGTAACTGATCAGGTGGCTGTTGATCTGTTCGCCGAGCTTGGCAATTGATTTGCAAACGTTTCGTCACCATTCGAGGAGACACCTTCAGTGCGCTGTTGGTTGGGTAGTTCCTCTCTTCGTGCCTGCGTTTATATAGTCTACAAAAAGCAGCCT